GGAAGGAAGGGGAGGGAAGGAAGGAAGAAAAAGGGAGGGAGGGAAGGAAGGGAAGGAGGGGAGGTGTGGGAAGGAAGGAAAAGTGAAGGAGGGAGGGAAGAAAGTAAAGGAAGGAGGGGAGGGAGGAAGGGTAGGAGGGTGGGAGGGGAGGAAGGGAGGGGAAGGAAGGAAGGAACTTGAGAGCCACCTCATCCTGAGATGCCCAAGGAGACTATTTCTCCAGGGATGTTGCGAAAAACCCAACTCACATTGGATCTTGTAATCAGGGGGGAGAAGCCGGATGTGAGATAAAGGAATCCTCCCAGTGTCCCCATCGTCAAATTCCACAGTGATCAAATTGACATCTTCCTCTTGATCGTGGACCCCTGTGGACCAAAGAGAGAAGAGTTGCAACGGGAGGAAAGAGGAATAAGTTGGAGAGACCAGTAACCTTCCTCTTGTAGGAATCTGCTGCATGGTAACGATGGAAAACCATGTTCGCTTATTTTAATTTTTCCAATCTCTTTAAGGCACCTGAGGACACCTGAGGCCAACAAATTCCATCAAGGAAGTACACACTGTGTCAGCTTCACCTGACACGCTGCTTGAAGAGGTCAGTTCTGTCCATCCGGAATTTATGGCCCCGTGTGTGTAATTGGTTTCAAGCTTGGGAGAATTATGGTGGAGAGCAGAAGAACAAAACACATGACAATCTAAATATCTATGGAGACCCTCAATCATCCAGGTCACAGTTGTTCCAAAGGTGCCTCTCCAAAACACAACTGTTATTTCTTTCCTTGAAAATGTTTCTCTTCTCATTCAAGAAGCTTCTTGGACGAGAAGCGAAAGGTCTTCAAGGAATCTGCATTCCATGCTTCCACCTTCATCCTGTCCCAGAAATGGATTGAGGCAGCGTTGGGCCTACCTCGGACAACCGTCCCAGGGTAGAGGCATCGGTACTGTTGGCTCCAATAGGCAGCTATTCGTGCTCCTTCTGGAAGGAACCTCACGGAAGGGGGTTTCACGTCGATGATCTGAAGGGGAAGAAGATTCAAGAGCTGAAGAAGGGAAGAATACCGGTGACAATTGAAGTCAAAGAGGCACACCCACATCAGCCACAATCTGCATTAGGACAGTCTCTAAGGAAGACCAGTTTGGAGTTCTGTTCAATCAATCAGAATACAGCTGGAAGGGACCTTGGAGGTCTCCAAGTCCAACCCTCGGGGCTCAACCAGGTGACTCTGTACCCGGGATGGTGAACCTATGGCATGCGTGCCACAAGTGGCACGCAGAGCCCTCTCTGTGAGTGCACACGCCTTCGCCAGCTGCTCTTCTGGTTTCTGGTGTGCATGTGTGCGCTGGCCAGTTGGTCTTCACGGGTGCCAGAGTGCCGGAAAATGACCCCAAAACAGGCCATTTTCGGGCCTTTTTCAGGACTGTTTTCAGCCCCCCAAAACAGCCTGAAAATGGCCAAAAAATCAGCCCAAAAACCAGGCATGCATGCACCAGCCAGCTATCTTCAGGTTTCTGGTGCTCTGGCATGTGTGCATGCACACTGCATGTGTGTTCCGGTTTAGGCCACTCTGTGCCGAAAAGGTTCGCCATCACCTCTCTGTACTATTTCAGAGAAGTGGTTGGGTATATTTCTCAGGGAGAAAAGCGAAGGAGAGAAGAAAGGAAGGAGGGATGGAAGAAAGGGAGGAGAAAAGGGAGGAAAGAAGCAATAGCGATAGCGCTTAGATTGATATACCAATTCATAGTCTTTAACAGCCCTCCTCTAAGCGGTTTATAGAGTCGGCATATGGCCCCCAACAATCTGGATCCTCATTTTACTGACTTTGGAGGGAGGAAAGGCGGAGCCCACCTTGAACTGGTCAGGATTGAACTCTTGGCTGTGAGCAGAGTCAGCCTGCAAAACTTCATTCTAACCACTTTATCACCTGGTAAGTTAGGAGAGTTCATTTCCACCTTTCTAAGTTTCTTCCTCTGTCCGTTATTCAGCTGTGGACTCTCCCATCTCTTATCTACTCCTTCCCAAAGCAGCATCTCTTCCCCCTCCGTCTCCCACATTCGTTCCCATGGACTATTAACCACCAAGACGACTGTCATGCCCCTGTTGGAGACTGACTCTGAGGGAGAGGAGGAACAGCCAACAGGGAGTGGAAGTGTGGCTCCAGAGGTTGTGGAGGAGGCTGGGGAAGGGCAGAGGCTGGCTGGGCAGTCAGAGGAGGACCCAGGCCCATCCCCTATCCATCCTAAAGTATGCAGGGAGGAGAGGATAAGGGAGAAATGTGGTTTACTCGGGAGGAGAGGGCCTTAATCCTCTTCATGGGCTGCAGCTGTGACAATTGAATAAGAGGACGGACATGCGTATGGGCAAGTGCTGGAAACAAAGCATGGAAATATCTCTAGTTTATGGTTCCTCTCTGAGTTTGGCGTCCTTCCCAGTGTGTGTTCTGTTACCTGTGGACATCCTCTAGCCCTTATCTTGCCTGGTTTGTGTTGCTTTTTTCCTCCTTCTTGTAACTGTTTGTGTGGGAGTTTTTTGTCTTCTGTCAAGAATAATCAGAGCTTGGAAGCAAAGTGAAGGAATAAAAGGGGCTTCACCTGTTTTCTGTGACTGTTTGTTTTGTATCCCACCCTGGGTCATCACACCATCTCTTATCTACTCCTTCCCGAAGCAGCATCTCTTCCCCCTCCGTCTCCCACATTCATTCCCAAGTACTATTAACCACCAAGACAACCAACTCACCGCTTCCTGCAGCAACTGTTCCAAGCAGTAAATGTGAGGCCGGTTTCCTCGCTCACCTTCCACAACAACCCGGTATCTGAAATAAATACAACAGCCCCTTTTTAAAGCCCGCAACTTAAAACAAAAAAATTATTTCCAATTTTAAAAAAATCAAAGATATCAAAAATATCACAGTTAGGCCCACAGGAATCAGGATGGAGAAACTCCTTTGCTTACATATCAGGAGAATGAACGGTTTTGACGTGCCCGGCATAGAGTAACTTGTCATCCATGGGGATAAGGACCTTCAAGCCATCCTTCAGTTCGTCTTTGTCAATGATGCAAGAACGAGGTGCTGTAAGAAGAGAACCAGAGCTAAGAATGTGGGCTTGTCTGACTGTTGCTAGGCAGAATTTCTTCCCTCTTTCTTTCTCCCAAGGTCTTTCTCACATACCATTGTATCTATCCACTTGAAGTCATGGGCCTTTCCAAAGGGAGGTTCCAGATTATGTTCTCCTCTTTTTATTTATTTTTAATAAATAAACACCTTTATTTATTGTTATTGAATTGATCGGCAGCCCATCTTTTACCAGAGAGCTTGCAATGTAGCCCTGGACTTACAACGGTTCATTTAGTGACCGTTCAAAGATTGGCATTGGAAAAAAGTGACTTGGGACTATTTTTCATGCTTGCGACCATTGTGGCATCCCCATGGTCACATGATCCAAAGGAAGGGAGTAGGGGGAGTGGGGGGGAGGAGTGGGAGAGGTGAGATCTGTTATTAAATGACCCCACCCCCAATGGGAAGCCCCTCCCCCCATTGGAGCCCCAAGGCAACTGACAAAGCCAGGTCTTTAAGCTGTTGCAGAAGATCCAGGAGGGTTGAAGCCATATATATTCTTCTCCTGGACCCCACCAGCTGGAATATCCTGGCCAATCGGGTCCGTAGCATCTTTCCTTTGCCGAGACAGGTGGGATGGGCCAATCCCATTGAGATGAGTCGGTCTGTCAAGTAACCCATGTTTCTTCCCTCTCCTCTGCCAAGGTCTTTCTCACACACCGTCACATCTACCCACCTGGAGTCAGCGGTCTTTCCAGGAGGAGGTTCAAGGGTATGTTCTCATCCTCGGAGAAGCTGCTGTCCTGGTTGGGTTCAAAGTCTTCCTCAGCGGCCATGCTTTCCATAAGTTTGCTCACGGCTCCGCCTTTCCCTCGTGTCTACAAGGAAACCAGATTTATTATTCTACTTGCATGCTTTGAAATCCATCAACTGGGTGGAACCGAAGCCTCAGCCGCCGAGTACACTGACCGAGTCAAGACAATTCTATATAATTCAGGCCCAATTTATATCCGAAATGGTTAATCGTACTCTTAGCAAACCTTCATTCTGCACAGAAAGGCTAGACTGACCATGTGGCCTAATGGTTACCAGTATCTGCCTGGGATTCAGGGCTAGCACAAACTTCTTGCTTCATTGGGCACAACAGGTAGAGGACAGACATGGAGTGAGGCCTCTTTTCTTGGTGGCTCTGATTCTCACCTCCTTCTTTGCCTCTTTAGTCTTGGCTTTGCCCTTGTTCTTCTTGTTGGAGGTCAAAGAGTTGGCCAAGCCGACACGCAGATCTGGCAGGGAGCTGGCGATGCCCAGAGGAGAAAGCAAAGAGGAGGAAGAAGAGGATGAGCTGGAGGAAGAGCAGGCGGCGCCTTCTTTATTCTTCTTCTTCTGCAAGACAAAAGGAGAAAGATAAAGCGATGGTAACAGACTGCTGGCTTGGAGAGAGAAGAGAGGAAGAGAGAGAGAGAGAGAGAGAAACAGAAGGAGGAAGGAAAAGGAAGGAGAGAGCGAGAGAAAGAAAGAAAGAAAGAGAAAGAAAGAAGAGAGACAGAAAACGGGAAGGAAGGGAAAGGGAGGAAGGAAGGAAGGAAGGAAGGAAGGAAGGAAGGAAGGAAGGAAGGA